CCAGCAGCTTATGTTGGTCCTGAAACACCAGCTGTCCTCTTGGTTTCATTCTTTCAAGAAAAGCTGTTATAGACAATGGGCTGTTGAGATTGAGAGCCTAGAGGTTAATTTCTTAGAAACAGCAAAAGACTGTATTTAAACAGTTGCCATATATTATAGATTCTCTCTGCAACTACAAAGACAGTGCTTTTCTTCCATAAGAGGGCACCTCATGTGGACAAGCACAGTAGTTGTTCCATCTGGTTGTTCCTTCTGCATGGTCGCATCCCATGCTGCTCTGGATGTAACGTTTGAGATGCAGCAGTCGTGTGGATGTATGTATGATCCAGTTCTGTCCCAGGCCTGCACCACCTCTTCCTGGAGCCCTCAGCATCACCATGAGGAGTTACCTATATCAATTTGCCCTTCCCATGTGTCAGTAGAATTTGGGATGTTCCTGAAGCAGTGTGGGTTGCAAAGCACGCAGAAGTGGCAGTCACGCTTGCCAGGCAATCAGTAACATGTGGACTTGCAAATCACAAATTCTCCCACAAGCAGTAGTTGTTATTTCAGTAACTGTTACCGAACACATTACATTTTCCCACATGAACTCATGTACATGCACAGTCAACAAGTAGGCTGAGGCCATATTTACGGTATATGTAAGAGAAAAATACTGTGTCATTCTTCAGTAACTTACCAAGGAATTTAGGTGGCCCTGAGAATCTGAGAATTCTAATAGATATCCTGTGATCCCAACAGATAATTTCTGTATTTACTCAAATCTAATGCTCACCTTTTTTTGACCAAATAATGTTGCGAAAATTAAGGTGTGCATTAGATTCGATTGCACATTTACATTCGCCAGCAAATACTTTTTGGTTTCAAGGTTTTGAAAATTGAGGTGCACATTAGATTCAATGGCACATTAGACTCGAGTAAATACGGTATATTTGCAAGTCTGGATTTAGTTATCTGCTGGCAGATGATGCTTTACTTTTTGAATTTCTGGACCTATATTTTTTAAAGCTGTCGGCCTTTGTTTTATTAGCCTTTCCTGAGCTTTAAATGGTATGTTCAGACTCATAATATAGGGGGGCTCACTGGTGAGAACCTAATTTTCTTATCAGTCACTACAGTACAAGGTAAAAGTATGAAATGAATCATATATGGATAGAGCCACAAAGCCTTTAAAGGGACCTTGAAGTAGTGGGTGAAGGAAACTCTAAATCTAGCAACTGTGGTCCTTATTATAATTTATGATGCTATATAGGTATTTTGTATCCTTGAAACCTCATTGAATGGCGACTTTATATGGTGGACATACTTCACTATTCCTTACTCAGCTCTTTAGCAGCAGCTTAGGAACTGTTTGAGCACTGAATTGAGAGATGTGAACTTGTGTATTGCTCAATTTTAACATAATCTTGACACCTATAACTTAGTGCAGTATGTAAGGAGTCTTATTTTTAAAAAAAGAAAAGAAATACTTAAAACAAGCTCACCAAGCTATAGGAAAATGATGTTTTTGTGCTCTCTGATTCAAGCATTCCACAATAGCTGAGCTATAGGTAGGGGGCTAAAATCAGCAAATGGTCCTATGCAGGGGGCTGAGCTTCAGAAAGTTAGCTTGCTAAAAACCTTGGAAAGTCATGTGAGAGATGGAGCTTCACAAGCTTTCCTCCATTGTAGGTTGTCCTTTTCATCATGATGCCATGTTCAGGGTCAGTGTCCACCACCTCAGCCATTCGCTGGTCTCATTATGAGGCGGGAATTGGAAAGAAGCTCCCCTTTTCTATAGGAAAACAATGGCAATTATTGTCAATGATGGTAGCCTTTGGGAGTAGATTTGCTGCTCCTTTTCTTATAGTAAGGCACCAGCAGTTAATTTTCTGCATTTAAGACCTTTTGCTGTTATACTTCCTCCACAATAAATACTAATAAAATAAGAGAACCAGAGTTAAGAAAGTGTATTTTATATGAACACCTTTGTTTATGCTGCAATACAGATAAGGATACACATCAAAGCATCATTTTATATGGCAATGCAGATCAGCTCATCATATTTGTTTTTTTGTTTGCTGAATTTATATACTGCCCTATACCTGGAGGCATTAGTAACAAAGTTAGATATACGTTTACTTTTTTAAAAAATGGCTTTTCTGGTCTTTTTGGTGAAATACTTAAAATCACAGTATGAAAATTAATTGTTTTGGCAATGTTGAATTCAGTATTTACCCTGGCCAAATCCACAACAAGTTCCTGAGACACTGTAGTCCTCAAATGATTCTTAATTAACTTGAGTTTGCTAAATGACCTCTCTCCAGAATTTACTGTTGCTTGAATTGTTAGTAGTATTCATATGCTAACACAAACATTTGGAAACAGGTCACCACATCTGTACTCCCTTAACAAGTTTAATGGCTTCAACTGCATTTACAAAAATTGCTTCATGTACTGAGGGTAAATGTTGCATTTCTTTTCCAAAACCATCACGTTAAGGTCAGTAGGTCAGTAGGTTGTTGTTATGATAAATATAAAGCTTTTCTCTCCACATCACTTTTACATGTTGACAGAAGAGGAAGCGGGTGTGGGGAGTATTGTGGCATTATATGTTGTTGACTTCCATTTGTCAAACCGCTGTGTTAGATGCACCATAGTGACAACCCCCCCTTGACCTCGCTGATGTGGTCCGAAGGAAAGCAGAGCAATGCATCTGGCACCAGCTTGGCTGCAGGAGTTGCCAGAAGGAGGCGTACAAGACGCCATCCAACCATCTTAGGGCCCCCACTCCAGATTTTTGTAGGGTTTACTCCTTAGCCTTTCTTCTTCTGAAGATATCCCACAAGGCAGTGGAGGTTTAAGATCAGAGTTTCCTTCTCCTAGATGGGCCACCTTCCCAGGTTGGCAAGCCCTATCTGCCACTCACTTTTCTCCACAACACGCACAGAAACTGCCCTCTTGACCCACTATTGCTCTCCTCCACCCAATCCACCAGAGCCTGTCTTCTCATGCAGGAGAAGTACCTCACTCACTGTCAGCTCATCTGCTTAGCCAACCAGTCAGTGAGACCCATCGGCCACCCTCATCTGGTTTAGCCGGACATTCAAAGTGTCTTGGTGTGTGGCCTCTGTTGCATGTTGACAGATTCTAGGAGCCACAGGTGAAAGCTGAGTGCAGGGTGGGAACAAAAGGTGGAGAAACTACCCCAGAAGGAGCATGATGTGTCCTCACCAGAGGTACTACCCCTCCCCTAACACTCCATACACAAAATGTAAATGCTAGTCTTCACACAATATACATAAGCACACATATTCTGAGGTCTCAGAAAATTTCTGGCTCCCCACCTCTGGCTCCCAGACCCCACTTTTGACCCTTGGCAGGAGTGTAAAATACCCTCTGCTCCCCTGTCTGCTGAGCTCTGTTTCATTGTTGTTGGCAGTCATTATTTTGCTCCTCCAGGTGCACCATGGCATTTCTTCACAGACTCAAATCTGTGTCCCAGTCAGATAAAGAGAGGGAACAGGGTTGGCCCACCCATGAGGCAGCATTCACAGGCAGTGGGACCTTACAGGGGCAGTGCTCCTGCTGCTGGAGAAGCAGTGGCTTCTGCAAGATCTCATTGAACGCTTGTGAGTTCTCATTGCTGCTGCTCACTTCTTCCATGGCAGAGGACAGCCAGCCCAGTGCCACCAGAGAAGCAAGGAGAAGCAGCTGCAGCTTCCAGAAGGATCATAGATCTCTCACGAGATCTTTGCATCACAGAATTGTAGAGTTGGAAGGGGCACATGCCCTTCTTAAATCTCAGCTTGTCTTTCACCTCCTTATGCAGTGGCACCACTTTATTTGTGTGCCTCCTACTTTTCTTTCTTGTTTGCACTGCCTGCCTTTGTGCCTTCAATATTTCACCTTTGAAAAACTCCCATCCATACTGGACTCTCTTTGAGTATTTCCGACCATGGGATCTCATCCAGTAGCACCTTAAACTTTTTGAAATTGGCCTTCTTAAAGTCCAGATTGTAGGTCTGACTATGCTCCGCTTTCCCTTGCCTCTGTATAGTGAAACTCAAGAGGACATCTTGCTGGATACCAGGAAGCAAGGCTTTGGTGGGTGAGGGCATCTTTCTGTTTCACCTCAGGCGGCAAAACAGGACAGGCCATCCTGAGATTAAAAGAATGGTCGTTTATAGAATTCAGAAATCATTCCAGAGATCCATTATATATTTCCCTCTCTCACACACACACCAGTGGTGGACCTTGGCATCTCAAATTTTAGTAGTGCCCTCTGTAACACCAAAATCCAGCATTCCCCTGCTTCTCACTTTCCATTGGCTGCCATAGGTGCGGTCACCCGAAGGCTCTACACCAATGTGACCGCACCAATCACGCTCTCCTAGATTACACACACAACGGTGTCAGATACCTTTCCTCAATTTCAGAGATTACATGAGAGTGATAATGAGGGTGAGCCCTGTCCCCTGATTCCCCTGATGGCTGTGTTCAGCATTCAGCATAAGAATGTTTACCATCCCTCTAATAGGCCACAATGCATGCCTTATCTTACAGCATCATACACAATGTTTATAAATATTGATTGCTTATGTATTTAAGGTTATGAGTTAAGGTTAAGGTTATGAGGTTTCCAATGGTGCTCCTGAATTTAAATTCATTGAATCTTGTACATCAATAACAACCGATTAATAAAAAAAACCACATGCCTTCATTGGGTGGGTTTCATTGGGTTTGGTGGGTCACAAGTAGCAGAAACCTGCTTTCTGGTGTCACAACAGCCACAGAATTAGAGACTTCATCATGAAAAATACATATTGAAATGTATTTGTAAAAGCTTGTCTCTAAATGGAGCTGGATTGAAGTCTGTATTTTGAAAAGAGTTCTTTCTATACCGAGACACAAGTATCAAAGCCGCAGAAAGCAAGGAAAACAGTTGTGCTTGATTCTGAAGTTGTGCTTGATCCTGAACACCTGCCCTTTTCTTTCTGCTGTTTTATTACCTCCCATAGGGGTGTGAACTCATAGAGACCCCAGATCAAGACTTAACAGACTTCACCAAGTGCCTTCAGATACTCCAGCGGAAGATAGAAAAGAACAACTTGCAGGTAACGGTAGCAACTCTTTAAATACACATTTTGTGACAGTGAATCTTTCTCCCAATGTTCACGGAATGGCATAGCCTTACGAGAGTCTCTTGATGTTTTTCCAAGTCTAAGGCTCATTTATATTGTGTTAAGTCATGTTGTGTCATGTGGCTTGAGGTAGAAAGCAAAACAGACATCAGCTACCTAAAAAAGATTACTCTTTTTATTATTTATTTATAATATTTTATTAATACATTAAAATAAAAAATCTAATCTAAACAAAAACAAAACAAAGAAGAGAAAAAGAAGCATGCCTCTTTCAGAGGTAAATCGTTACTGGACCAAGACAGAGAAAGGTGGACCCTCCCATTTCTCACCTGGGAGCTTCCCTTTCTTTTCCCAACCTCCCATCCTGGGAGATCCTCCTTTCCCTGCCCCTCACACAGGGTCTTTCATCAACTCTCCATCACCTTCATCTGCAAGTTAACCCTTTCTTAAACCCTGAGTAGAGGACCGTAAATAATACGACAGACAAAGCACAAACAAAAACAAAAATAAAAGGAAGGGGAAAGAGAACAAAAAGCTAAGAATATTAAAGGAAGTAATAACAATAAAAAGTTAAAGAAAAAAGGACTGCCAACTATTTGTCAGTCAGTTCCTCAACAAAGTCAAATATTCAATCCAGAGTAATATCTAGCTGTTCCTCCATCTGCTATACAATGTTTTCCCAGTTTTCTTCAGTTTGGGCATCTCAAGTTCATTCTTTTTTCTTTCCAAACAAGAATTCCAAAAGAAGTTATCCAATACTTATTACAAGTCAGCCAGCAATAGTCTTCCTCCACCCAACTTCATCTCCAATATTAAAAAAAATATCATTCTTTGTTCTTTATTCTCTCAAGAGTTTATTTGCTGTGGTTATGTAATAAGACAATGATCCATACTTGGTTACTTATTTTATAGTCATTAATTCACACCCAAATCCATTTCTTTCCAATCCCATTTCAGGTTGGCCATGATTTTCTGTCCTTATTTTTTAGAAAAATATGATTTCCATTCCTTCTCTTCCATTCTTTTTCCAAAAATGATGCAAGAGACTTACTTGCTGTTTCCTCTGAATTCAATCCAAACTATACACAGAGACCTTTCTTTCTCAACTCTGTCTCTACTGACACAGAATATTTCTTAATTTCTCCTTCAACATCATAGCTCCAACATTATATTGTTCCTGTCCTTCAGACATCTGTGTAAAGCCATTCTCTTGATGTGGCAAATCATCATTAGTGTTTTCCCCCGAAAGCTGTAAATCTTCTTCAGCCTCTGCTTCATCCAATACATTTCCATTGAACATTTTCTGTTTCCACTCTTAATTCCTTTAATTGTTCATCAAATAATTGCTGTACAGTCCTTTAGTGGTGTCTCCCTTTAAGCCAGCCATTGGGTTGTATTTTCAATGAAAAAGATGGCTCTTGTGACAGAGAATGAAATTGGAAAGACATCCGCAGTAGCAAAGTGTAATGGTTGTGGGACCCTTTAGTTACCCTCACATAGCCTGAGTAAATGCATGTTCCGGGCATGTCAAAAAGGTGAAATTCCTTACTGTGTCCTGGAACTCTGATGCTATATTTATTTATTTCATAAAATTTATATATCACTTGATCATAAAAAACCCTCAAAGCAGTTTATGAAAAATTAAACAATAAAATCAAGCAAAATTCACAACCTTACTTTAAAACAAAATTCAAAATACTGAATCAGATTAAAATTACCTCAACTTTTAAAGCATCTGGGTAGGCTTGTCTAAACAAGAATGTTTTTTGCAGATGCCGAAAAGACTCCAGTGAAGATGCCTGCTTGATATCAATAGCAGGGAGTTCTATAATGTTGGCACTGCTACACTAAGCACTAAATTGTGTTACTGTTGCTTTTTGGCCAAAAAAGCGCCACCGCCCCCCAGCAGCTTACAAATAATGAACACCACAAGTGCAAACAACAAACAATACCAAATGATAATATTTCCAAACAAAAACTTAACATTTCAAAAGTCTCAAAATGCCAAATACATTTGAAGAGCATTCACTCAACAAAAAATGTTGAGAGAGCAAGAATAAGCACTTACGCAGAATCTCCTCTTTAAAAGGGCTCCAGTCATGGAAGTAGGACAATGAAGGTGGAAAATCTTGCCCTTGCTGGTTCTAGCAGTCTCTCCTCTGTAGATGGCTTTTGAAGGAAATTTAACAAATTTAGCTGGTACCAGAATCACCCTACCTGTGAAAAAGGGATGCAACAGGAATATGCAGAATCCTGATTAAAAAGCAGACTCACCCAATTTGATCCAGATGGATCATGTCCTGGATCAGATCACGGACCTATATTAGAACCTGCAGTCCTGCAGATCTGTTTGTGTGGCAATCCAAGGCCTGCAGGGTCATCTCTATCCCTTAAAAAATATCCTTTTGAAAAAGCCCAGAAAAGCTTGTCTGTATCCACAGCCTGGAGCAGCTATTGCACACACCTCCAATTGCAATAAAGCAAATCCCCCTGGAAGCAACAGGACTTGGTGATGTTCCATTGCTCTCAGAAGAATCCTACAGAAAGAAGCATGTCTGTTCCCAGGCTGAGGGTGGCTGGGTGACATGTTTTGGAGCTTTTTAAAAAAGGACAGCCTTCAGACTGCCTCAAGGGATCTGCAAAACTGTGGGGCCCAATCTTCACTATACATTTAAACCCCTTTCAACAGTCATGGCTTCCCCCAGAGCTTCCTGGGAACTGTAGTTTCTAAGGGTGCTGAAAGTTGTTAGGAGACTTCTTATTCCAGTGTGGTATAACGGTTAGAGTGTCAGCCTATGGGAAGACCACAGAAGGGACAAAAAGCAGTAGCCCTCTCACACTCTTGTTGCTCAGCGACTGACGCTGACAGTTTGGAATGGATGGACCCAGTGAAGTCCAGTCAGGCCAGTTTCCAAAACACTCTCCCAGTCTCCTCAGAACAAACTCTTCAGTCCCCCATGACAACTCACAGGGACAAAAAGGGCTGTGCTGCAGATATGCTCCACAGGGTCACACGCGTGATCATAGCAGACCCTCATTTAAAGACAGGAGGCTCACCCTTGATTTTGACTTTATCTACCGGTTCTTCCATTCATTTTGCACTATATTACAGAATCAAATAGTCAAATCACAGGGCTTTATGCCACAGAGCAAAGGTTTAGAAGAGAATTTTTTTAATTGTCTCCATTAAAATCCTCCCTGGGAGCAATTGGCAGAGTTTTCATTTTTTGTTTCTCTGCTCCCTTGGCAGTTCTGGACTGGAATGCCGTTCTTTTCACTTTGGTTACAAAGCCTGCAGAATCTCATTGGGCCTAAATAAAGGTTGATGAGGCTTTTTGTGGTATGTTGCTTTACAGACAAAAGTCAACTTAGTCTAAATTTAGAGCTTTGGCTGGGGTGGGGGAATCTTTGGTGACAGTCAAAGCCTTTGACGTTATACAAAAGATTCAGATGTATTCCAAGTCACAAGTATATTTTCATGCAGCTTTGCTAAGAAATAATGAAATGCTAGAACCACAGGACATCTTACGAAATAGTTCATTTTAAACTTGCTGCATTTTATATAACAAAAGGTAAATACTTGTCTTACGTGCAGGAGTCCTCCATTTAGTTGATCCCATCTTTCCTTGTTGGTGAAAGCTTTCAAGAATAAATCAGTTAAGGCTTAATTCCCAAGTCTTTCTTTGTATTGTTTCTATTGCATTCATACATACATTTTAGGCTCTGGTTTTTTGTTTGTAATTCTTCCTTCACTCTTACACTCCCCCATACACACACACACACACACACTTACAGAAACTGAGGCTTGCACTTATATTAGACTTACCGTATTTTTCGCCCTATAGGACGCACTTTTTCCCCTCCAAAAATGAAGGGGAAATGTGTGTGCGTCCTATGGGGCGAATGCAGGCTTTCGCTGAAGCCTGGAGAGCGAGAGGGGTCGGTGCGCACCAACCCCTCTCGCTCTCCAGGCTTCAGGAAGCTCTCCGCAAGCCTTGGGAGCCCGCGGGAGTTCCCGTCGGGCTCCCTAGGCTTGCGGATAGCAGCCTGCATCTTGAAGCCTGGGGCGCACTACACAGGCTTCAGTTCCCCGACCTGGTTTGGAGGCTGGCGGCGGGGAGAAGCGCGCTTCTCCCCGCCGCCAGCCCCACAAGCTCGGGGGACAGCGGGGAGGCCTGGTTTGGGCTTCAGGCAGATATCTGCAAGCCGTGGGAGCCCGGCGGGAAGTCGCGCCGGTCTCCCAAGGCTTGCAGAGAGCTGCCTGTTCTGGGGGCTGGGGTCAGGGGAAGCTTGGGCTTCCCCTGCCCCAGCCCCACGCCCGGGGGGCAAATAAAAAAAAATTCTTTATCCCCCCCCCCAAAAAAAACCCTAGGTGCGTCCTATGGGCCGGTGCGCCCTATGGGGCGAAAGATACGGTACTTCCATTGCTTTCTGTGGGGGTACCTTGGCAAAAATTTACTATTCTTTAATTTTCTCTCTCTACATTGTTCTACAATTGCAGTACAGTTCCGCAAAAGAACTGTATGTGTGTACAGGGGTTTAAGTGTCAAACTCTTTATACACATACTCTGTGTTAGAAACTGAGATATGAAAGCTAGGAGCTAAATGGCACCTTAAAGCTAGGTTATAGGTGCAACAACAGAATGTCTCAGTGTGATTTTTTATAACAAGAATACAAAGCTGAAAATGAATGAACTGCAGCTAAAATATTATGTTCATAATATTATTTTTCACATGGTCTAGTCCTTCCCCCTAATATTTTTTAAGAGGGTCTCTTCTCCAATCTTCAGAGAGTAGCTAGAAGTGGGGAAGCAGAAAAAAGTCCTCCTTTCCTTCCACTCTGCAGTTTTAATCTGAAATCATAGGTGCTGTATTGCACCCAGAGCTCAGAAACTGCTCACAGTCATGAAATTCCTTGTCGCAAAATGTGCCTAGAACAATGGGAGTTTTGAACACTGTACACATTGATTCCAAATAAAGTGTTGACCGTAGGTAACTTAGTGCCCAATTCTGGGGCTTTAGCCATCAAATATCCTTCACTCTTGAGTTTCATTACATTTAGTAATTTATAAGTTCACTAGTGAAGTTATCCTTTCTTCTTCCTATGTGAGGTATTAATTTTAATCAATTGTTCCTTTATGTCTTTATCAATTATTATGTCCATCATAGTTATTCCTAGTCTCCTGTTGTGTCTTGCGGCACTGTTGACTTGGTGTCACTCTTGAGAGATATCTCCTTTTTGTTATCCAGCTCCTCTGATTACAGCTGTAAAATTCTATCGCCATTACTTTCAATCCCAGGAGAGGGGTTGCCTGGCGCCCCGCCAAAGCCTTGGCAAGTCCTCAGAGTCCAATCCGTCCTCCCCTCAGTCAAGGAAAAAATAAGAATTAACTGTCGAGATTCCAAGTCTTTTAAAAATTATTCCATATTATTATGTTTTCCTCACACAGCTCCGTTTGTCATTGTAATCCATATCTGTACTTCCGTCTTCCTTCAACTTCACTTGCTATATCGAAAAAATAATAATGGCATTCTCCATTGCTGAGTCATTTATGTAACAAAGGATTTATAATGAAGCCATTGGCTCCCCCCCCAACACATACTGTCTTTTAGATCGAATGAAATCATATTTGCTATTTAAATCTGTACAACCTTGTAGCTGTTTCAATTCGGCAGTTTTTGATCTTGTCCCATCATTACCAGCACGTGTCTGTGCATTAATCCTAATTAAAATCTTAATGAACAGAAGAACCACTGCTTCTTAATGAATGGCAGTGTTGGTATTCATTGGCATTACCAAAAGGCAAAGTGCTTTTGCACTCAGCGCCTCCCTACCTCCCACATTCCATGTTGGAATGAAAGCCAGGTACCGAGACGATCTGTGAGTGCAAAGATAATTACCTTCATTCATCTTTATTTATTCCTTCGCCAACAATCTCTCATTGTCTTGGGAGCTGCGCCATTAAGGCAACCGGAACTAGAAGCCGGTTTAAATAAAATAAAATAAAATAAAAAGGCTTAAGACTGAAAAAACCAAATGTGGAAATTAAATTCAGGCAACAATTTTAAGTGCTTTTAATCCCCATTTACTTCACAAAACACATGCTGAAAATTCTGCAAGAATCAGTGTAACTTAAAAGTGCTTGAAATCCTGGCATTTTTAAAAATTGAAAACTTGATTTTTGAGCTAGACATGATACCTTCAATGACCATATGTCACCTAGTCCTGCTGCATGCTCTGTTTGTCCATTTTCTATCCAGATGTAATGGTTTGTAAATCCATCAAGGAGAAATTTCAACGGAGTTTCACAGTATCAAGCACAATACAGTGGTACCTCTACCTTCTTCATTATTAAGTTATCCAAAGAAGAATAAGAATGTCTGCTGTACCAATTAGCACAGAAGCGTGTTGTTTAACAAGCTTATAAACTGTTTAAAATTAATTGTCCCTTCCATTAGTCCCAGTAGGAGACAGAATTTAGAAGCTGTGTGATTTTTATCATGTGCTATAGCTTTTGCTCCCAAAGGGTAGTGCTTGTTCCTTACCTAAGAACCCCCCCCCCCCGTTTTTTAGGTGGGTGCCATTTATGACACAACAGGTGGGGTATATAACCAATTCATGTAGCTTCTCCCTTTATAACATTAGAAAGGACAGAGCCCTTCTTTTTTGTCTTTTCAGCAAAAACTCTGCCGCATACCTTGGTTATCTCTCACCTTGACTAGGATAATCTTCTCTTAGCTGCTCTTGCTTTCTTTCATCTTGGCCAGCTCACATCAAACTAGTACTGTGTTCGCAACATTATTCACCTTGATTGTTGCCTTGACTGTATGAGAGGCAGACCTCCTTGAATCCCTGCATTAGCTTCTTGTCCTCAACCAGATGGCCTTGCCTTCTTTTTTTCTTATTGTCTCTTATATCTTGACTCATAATTACCAGCTCTGCCATCTGACGGCCTCCTGCTCCCGGAAACAACTCTGCTTCGTTTGATGCCCCTGAAGCCTGGAGCTGCCTCTCAGAACACTCTCACGGTGGAGCCACTCTTGCTTCCAGGAGGGCACCATTCTTTCTCCCTTAAAATCCCTTATAAAAATCCGGTGAAGCTTTTCAAATGGCCCCATGGTTTCAATATCTAGCTATAACTAAACCAAAGTACATGTAACTGAAATAATCACATATTCTTTCCCTGTTTTCTCCTGCCTTCATTTCCCTCTCCTTCTTCTTGACTGGGCTTTGGCTAGAACAACAAACTTTTAAAAATTATTATAATTATCATTTGGAAGCTTTTTAATGTGCAATATTTGATTATGTTTTTATATATGTTTGAAGCTGCCTGGAGTGGCTGGGGCAAACTTGTCAGATGGACAGGGTGCAAATAATAAAATTATTATTACTATTCTTCTTATCATCATCATCATTATTACCAGTGCTACTACTATTACTATTTATTCAGTTTATTAGTTGCTTGCCACATAGGACTCCTCAAGCCATTTGTAGTATTTAAAGATAATAACATTGGTGATAATATAACAGCATTTAATTCTTTCCCACTCGTATATCTTTGAGTTCCTCTTTGATATATTCATTTTCTTTTTTAAATATATTCATCCTCTTCTTTGATATAGAATATGTTCACCTTTTTCAATGTAATCACAGAGTATAATATACAGTAGCTGTAATGTTAGTACTTTATGATTTTGTTGAAAGAAAACAGGGCAGGGGAGTGAAGAGTGAAAATAATGGATGTGAAGTAGTGTTTGTCATATATGAACCTGCACATGTGGAAAATCAGAAACTGGTACTGGGCCTTTAAAAAAATCATGCAGCACAGCATAAACTCAGAAGAAGAATGATTCATTACAACAAAAGCCAGAAGAGACCCAATAAAACAGCAGCAAAAGCATACTGTCAATATACAGCAAAATCATCACAATCCATCAAATGCCTCCAAGAAGAGATGAGTCCTTACTTGGCATGGAAAGGATGTTGATGATTGTGCCAGGCATATCTCACTGGGGAGAGCATTCCACAAGTGGGAAACCATGGCTGGAAAGGGATCTCTCGCTCATCACCACCCTCCAAACTTCCCTCAGAGGGAGCACCTGGAATGCAGCCTCAGATCAAGATTGAAGGGTCCAGCTACCTTTACACTAAACCATATTAGGACAAGTTATATTCCATTTATGGGGCAGGGAGGTTCTCTATAAATTATCATAAATAAATATCAAATTTAAATATCTAAGAAAATTGCACATTACAAAACACCACAGTGAGAAGCTAAACAGGGTTTCCTCTAAAGCATCAGAATAAAACATTACAAATTGAGATCAGTTGCAAAAGATACCGAGTAAAAAGTCCACTTATTTAAATAACACAATTAACAACCAAGCAAAAGAAAAGTAAACACACTGCCAACATATGACCAATGAACCATACAGTTAAGCAAGCCAATCCAATTAAGTTCCCAATCCCCTGTAGAACAACAAACACAACTTAATCTAACTACTGCTAAAAGTGCCTTCCATTCAGTTTCACTCCAGCACACTCTTACATAGTCAACACACAACGTAGATACAATAAACAATACTCTTAAACTTCACTCTCCTGGTACACACAGTATCCATACTCTGCAACCACTCTCATAATTCAGGGCTCATCCAGACTTGCTTTGTCCCACCACTTTCCCCCAGGGAAACCCTGTCCTTACGGCTGAATCAGAGCAAACGTCAGTCAGGTTTTCTCCAGCTTGACTTTCACTCCTATTTATTGCTAAAAGAGCGGGTTTTCTGGGGGGAAGTGGTGGGGCAAGGGCAAAACTGCAGGACAAACAAAAAAGCGCTTGGACACATGGCTTCTAGGCACAGAACAAGCACAAGTCTGGATGAGCCCATAGTTTTAAAATTCTTACTCAACAGCCACTCTCACGTGAACGCCGTGAAATCCTGATAAAGCTGGACAAATGCTGATGAACAGAGGCCACAGCAATATACAAACATTCTTATCAGGTTTCTCCCTTTGCGTCTCACTGAGTGGGCACAGGAGGGATCTACCCCCAATAGTGGGCTCTCATCTCAGGGGTATCAAAACCTCCTTCTCCAACTTTATGACAAGCAGGCAATCACACTTGAGCCTTATGTATCTGTGTTTAAATGGTAACACCCTTAGGTCGGAACCTGTCAAAACTGATTTTGTAAAGCACCATGTGCATAGATGGTGCTGTATTATATTACCATGTTGTTGTTAATTGTAAGAATAAGAAATGCATAATTGGTATCTGGAGGAATTTTTTGATAATATTGTGTACACCTCTGTGTGCTCTGCAGTATATCTCATACAGAAATAGTACATTGAATCTCCCTGCAGGATTGCCACCAGTTGAACACTAAGCCACTCGGTCTCAAGAGGTGAAAGAGTCTCACTGAAATAATAAGTGCTATTTTTCTAGAAAAAGAGGCGCCAGAACTCACCATGAACACCTCCCTCATACTCTTAGAACAGCAATGGTGTCCACCTGAGAGGTGCCAGAATTGAGTCCCAGCAAGTTCCGGCTGAATAAAAGCCCTGCATCCAAGTACAGTGCTTTTATTTTATCCATAGGAGTGACTGGCAGACATCCACTTGTATGGAGGCTAAGGGCTACACTCGGGGAAATCATGCAGGTGGGGCTAAATGTGCCCAATCTGTTCAGCTCCCTCTGCATCTTCCAGGTTCTCCGAATACTCTGCAAATAGCATGCTACATATTTCTGTAACCTCTTGGGCATCCCCTTAAACTGTATTTCTGCACTTTGTACATATGAGAGAGAGTTATCCAAAGGAAAAGTACAGCAGATGCTCTCAGTGATATTTACCAATGTTTGTTTTGTGTCTCTTTTAGATTGACATGATTGTAACGCTGGGTGGACTTGGAGGTCGCTTTGACCAGATCATGGCATCTGTGGAGACACTCTTTCATGCAGTTAAGATAACACCCTTTCCGGTCATAGTTATTCAGGAGAGTTCCCTAATATACTTACTTCAACATGTAAGTAAAATGAAGCAACATTTTTTGTTTTGAAAAAAACAACAGTCTAAGAAGACTGATGATGTTGGTCTTCTAAAATTATTTCACCTTCAGTAAGACTTATGTCTATTCCAGCCTGGAAATCAATATGTATCATCAAAGGCAACCAATGTGTTGTTTCTATCTATTCAAGTTTACAATGAAGTTATTGATTCAGAAATAAAAGACCAAGGGCATGATTCAGCCAAAGTTCAGTTATTTTTCAGTCCCATTAATTTCAGGGGAAGAGATTTAAGCTCCTGTTGAATTCTTCCACTGATACTGATATCAGACTTCGAAAAAGCTTAGCTCCAGCTGGATGTTAACTAGATTGCGCTATGCAACATTTTCTGTTTGGTGCTTAATTTAAAATCAGCAGTTAGGGTCACTCAGGTCTTGCAGCAGCTGCCTCTGTGCTTCTGGTTACTTCTCAGCTTGGTGGCCTAGAATGAAAACACCAAGAAGGGGGTATGTACAATAATGCACACTAGAGTAGCATTAGCTCATTCTTCAGACTATTTGTCTCCATGGAGCTTGCAAAAAGATTGGCCATGTGTTTGAGACAGGTGACAGTTCTTCTGCTTTATTCTGTCTCAGAGAACCACTGCGCAAATAGTGAACTGGTTTCCTTTGAGTCAGATTCCCTCCCTGCCCCTGATGGATACTGTCTGAGATACAGCGTCATCTGTGAAATAACGTGCTTGGAAGAACCACAAGATTTGCACAAGTAGAAAAAAAAGTTTTAGAAAAGAAAACCTAAGGGGGTGACTATCCCACAAAAACAGCCCAATGAAGACTGGTTGTACACAGTGGCCGTTACTGGACAGTTGTGATGGAAAAGAAAAATGGAGCATGGGGGGCGGGGAAGAGGGATAGTGGAATACCCTGCTTGGAAGAAATGGCTGGCTGGAACCCTGAGCAGGAGCCCTCCTTTTAGACAGGAGGATACACTATAGTATTTTGTTGTTCAGTATAGTTGCTGACCAGAGATAATACACTGAAATTCAGCAGTAAATAATGTTTCCTCAAATTATGAGACCCTCAAAGTTTTAAGAAGGATGCTGAACATAGGAAGTCATTTGCTATTACAGTGAGAAATTACTATTATGGTTATTTGCAGAGCAGAACAATCTAGAAACATTTTTATGCAAATGAAGGTCTGAAGGGGAATTGTGATTCAATTTGAAATTAGGGAGTAGTTTACAGGGAAACAATTTGCACACATTGACACTAAATTAAATTTAGATGGCTTTGGGGGGAAGCTGGTTAGAACCTTTCAAAGAGTCTCAACAAGTGAGTGCTGCCCCATTCAGAACAAAAAATGGTTGGCTTCATTTCAGTGTTGTATTAAGGCACCTAAATGGGTTTTGAAATGCCACGTTAAAAGTTTGTGAAAAGGGATCATGTGAAGCAATAATGAAACCACTAACAATTTTGCAAACTGCCTCATTATTAATAATTGTATCTTATGTGTTACCGCTTAACTTCAGAATGCCAGGCTGTTATTATGTTTAGCTGGCAGTTATTTACCATCCTCCACTTTACTCAGTTGGTAAATATGCTGATAGGGAATCTTCAAGCAGAACTTACGATCATCTTATTTCTTCTCAGTGGTCATCCTTTTTAGAAAAAAAAGTTTTTATCCCTCAGTTGCAAAGTAAACCTAGAACAAGGTGGTACAATTCTGTTGGGTGACCAAAATCAGAAATGAGCCTTAAATGACAGCCGTATGAGTGATGAATTGTCACAAGTTGCAGAGTCTCAAGTTCCACAATGCAGACTCAGGTAGTCATAGTAAAATACTGGAGCATTGTTAATCCAGCCAATGGATGGGCAGTCTGGGATATATATATCCAGAACAACTAATAATCTACTAAGAAAATGCAGCTCACCATCCATGCATTTATTATTTCTTCATATACTACATTTAGATACTCCCTTTCTCCTATGATGGTAAGGGAACACCTAGCTACTTCAAATCTCCAGGCCTTGATGAGCTGCACTCAAGGGTACTAAAGGAGTTTGTGGATGTAATCTCAGAGCCTTTGTCCATAAACTTTGAGAATTCAGGAGAGCAGGTGAGGTCCCGGCAGACTGGATGTGGGTGAATGTTGTCCCCAGCATCAAAAGGGGGAGGAAAGAAGATCCACGTAACTACTGACTGGTGAGCTTGACATCAATACCAGGAAAGGTCCTAAAAGGTAAAGGTAAAGACTCTAGGGTTGTGCGCCCATCTCACTCTATAGGCCGGGAGCCAGCACTGTCCGCAGACACTTCTGGGTCACGTGGCCAGCGTGACAAGCTGCATCTGGCGAGCCAGAGCCGCACACGGAAATGCAGTTTACCTTCCCGCTAGTAAGCGGTCCCTATTTATCTACTTGCACCCGGGAATGCTTTCGAACTGCTAGGTTGGCAGGCGCTGGGACCGAGCAGCGGGAGCGCACCCCGCCGCGGGGATTCGAACCGCCGACCTTTCGATCGGCAAGCCCTAGGCGCTGAGGCTTTTACCCACAGCGCCACCCGCATCCCAGGAAAGGTCCTAGAACAGATCATTCAGCAGTCGGTCTATGAAGTTGTGATTACCAAGACCCAGCATGGGTTTGGAGAACAACTGTGCCCAAAGTAACAAAATGAATTTCAGTAGGGACAAATGTCAGGTTCTACACTTAAGCAGTAAGAACCAGCTGCACAAATATAAGATGGGGGACACCTCATGTAGTGGACCTACCACTAAATGCAATTAAATGTAGCAGATCCCACCACTAACTGCTCCCAATTAAACCAGTAGTGAACCAATTAATTAAAATTCTAAATTACCGCATGTTATCTTTTTGACTTCTTGTGTGAGGGGAAAATTGATGTTTTGGAGTCTTAGGCAGAAATTGAACAAATAAGAAAGGTTTTATCTACAAAACAAAGTTCGTAAAACAAAGGGGGGTCAGGAGCTGTATTCTTTCATTCAGTAGAAATTAACTTATTACTTAAACTAAATCTAAAGATGTTGCAGGCGTTAAAACAAAGTAGTAAATGCACAGCTTCTCCTAAACTACAGTTGCTAAAAAAAATCAGTTGTTGCACTTCAGGTAGATGTTCAGGTTTCTAGAATAGATAGTAAAATGCTTAACTCAGTTTCTGTTCCTTCCCTCTCGTTCCTTTACTTAGTTATGACCGGTATTACAGTTAAATACTTTTAACACAGCACAGCTTCCTTCACAGTTTAGAACTTTGGTTCATGAGCAAGGGGCACTTTTTGCCAGTTACAATCCCATTCCTGAGGTATTAGTCTAACAGACCAGGGGATCCCCCCACCCCTCTTAACAGGCTTGGGAGTCTTCTCTTTCTAGAAGATCTCCCCGCTCCTGACTGGAAGGAGACCCAAGGAGACTTCATCCTCACAGCTTCTACTTCTCCTGCTCAAACTCAGCCCTCCAGTTCACTCCTGTCTGAATACTCTCCCAAGACACTCAACACCGTCTTCCTAGCTATGCTACAAGGCTTCTTCCTCTAGCTGTAGATATTCCCCTCAGAGCGGATGTTAAACTCAAATTTGAACCAACTCTCTCAGACAAACCCTAACCTATGTTGGGATCTCCGCTCGGCCAAGCTGATAGAGCTCATCCTCCTCCGGCCAAGTCCGATATGATTAATGACCCGAGCCTTTGATGTGGCCTCAGGCACATTCCCATTCAGCAGAGAATCCAGCAGCATGCGGAAGTGATGAGATTTATGGCTACATTGCAAAGAGTTTTATTTTCCTAACTATGCAGACAGAAAAGACATCCTCTCTCTGTGAAAGCAGAGAGCAACTGAAATAAAGGAACAGGAATCCATCTCCTGTGAGTCTTCCAACAGTATGGAATGTGTGGAATGTAAACAGAGTCTTGTGACTCCAAAGCACTGCTCAGTGGCAAACAGAAACTAACATCCTCCCCCTTTCTGTGAACACCACTGGGCAGTGTGTCAGTACAATCTCAGTACAAACCCAGTTTCTGTACATAGGTACAGTGTTGATCCTTCGGAACAACCTTGGACAATAAATCAGCAGGAATTTCATTACCTGGCATGTAGGACACTGTTACGAGTCCTTTCTGAACACATTCTCTAGCATGTTGCAGCTTCAATTGCAAGTGCTTTGTGCTTTGCTTACAACCTTCAGAAGTCAGCAAAGCACGAAGCACTTGCAATTGAAGCTTCAACATGCTAGAGAAACATGCTCTGCTGTCCTGATAAAGCTGGATTGGACGCTTTATAGGAATTCTCATGTCTTTACACAATTGTAACAACCATTCACAATCCACAAGTGACTGTTGTTGGCTTCTTGCACGACCAATCAAATAGACCCTGGTTGTACATGTAGCAAACTCCAGACATGCTTTTCATGTCTGTAGTGTCACTTCCAAAACTCGCATCAGCAAATATCTCAAGACCACCAGACTTCTGATTGTTAAATCTCAGTCTGTAGTGTATAGTGCCTTTCAAATAGCGTGCTATGCGTTTCAGAGCTTTCCAATCCTTAACAGCAGAATTGTGGACTTGTCTGCTTAGCAAGTTTGTGCTAACTGCAACGTCCGGTCTTGAACATCTGGCAATGAAGTTTAGTTTGCCTAGCACACTTCTGTACAGTGTAGTGTCAGAAAATGCTTCTTCAGTATCATCTACCTGATAACCTGTTGTCATTGGTGTGCAGAGGAGGACGACCAAACGTGTGAAGAGGAGGCTGACCAAGATGATCAAGGGTATGGAAACCAAGCCTTACGAGGAAAGGTGGAGGGAGCTGGGGGATATTTAGCCTGGGAAAGAGGAGGCTGAGAGGAGATATGATAGCCATCTTCAAATATCTAAAGGGCTGTCATATGGAAGGAGCAAGCTTGTTTGGCCATCTGTCATGGATGCTTTAGTTGAGATTTCAGCATTGCAAGGGGTTGGACTAGATGACTCTCGGGGTCCCTTCCAACTCTACAATTCTTTCTTCTTCTTTTATT